TGACAGTGGAAAAATGTGTTGTTTTTCTGTTACATTCAGTTTTACTTTTCAGTACTGTTTCTGGGAGATGATCAATAAGAAAAAATAAAGTCACGCATTTGTAACACTGATGCCTAATGTGAGATTTTTAGTTTGAATCAGCTGATTGCATTAATGTCCTTGTTTCTGATGAAGACAGAATGCCTTTTGTTTTATTTGAATTTTGAAACCATTTATAGATATCACAAGAAAATAAATGTTTCACAGCAATGTTATTAAAAATTATTATTTTCTCAAGAAAAATTATTCTTGAAGTCATGAAAAGAAATCTACGGCCTCACTTGTTCTTCGTATGTTTTTTTTTTGTTCTGCAAGGACGCAATAATGTGAGTTAAAAGGTACTGTAAATTCCACCTCTTACAAAAATAACAGACATATTTGTATATTTACATGTACACAGATGTGATGTGAGTGTACAGTAGGCTAGTAACACAATACAGGCTGGTGTTTATTTGTGCTTGGGAGTATTGCTGGGAAAGTTTGAAGGAGGCAGCAGTCAGGTGGGCCGAGGTAGATTTGTGGTTTGGGTGGGTTGGAGGGTGTTAGTTATATGAGCTTAAGGAAGTGGATGAAGAGAAGAAGTGTGCGTAAAAGAAAAAAAAAGGGAGAGAGAGCGAGGCCCTGTGCTTGTGCCTTGCAAGGTGTGTTATTTGTTCAAGGCTGTCCAAACATTTACAGAGCGCTGGCAGTCCTGGAATGCAGAGGCAGGGCCGAGACCGAGAGCAGCAACCGTGGGAAACCGCTGCTCTCCTCAACCTCTGCAGGCTCGTTCCCCCTCGGGCAGAATGTCAACACAGACAGTGCCAGAGATGTGTGGGCCTGATAGTGACAGGTCCCGTCAGCAGCCGTGCACACACACACACACACACACACACACACACACACACACACAAAGCTGCATTGCAGTGGAGCTTTATAAAGTGGACGGTGCTGCAACAGAATCAGCAGGAAGGAGCAACCTTGGCTTTTCCACAT